TTTCTCCTTCCAAAAGTTCAGATTTACTAGTGATAATTATAACACATTCAAGGTAAAATTATCTATATTGGAAGTAAAAAMGGGRGGTATTTTAAGACATAATTTGCTTTCATATATAATTATATGATAAACAGAATGTTACGTGGCTGCTTTGAGAGACGGAAGTTGTTGTTTGTAGAATATGTCACCAAATATGCATCTTTTCGACTTCACTTATAAAGAACATTTTTCTTTGAAACGGYAGAAAATATCTAATAACTGTAAGGTGAACAAATACACAACTTTGAAGTTCAAATCCAGTTCTAGAATTTTTCATTGTTAATCGCGACAATTATGTAACATTCTATTATATCAAAAAGATCTCTCTGGAGTCTGCCTTTGTCTCGCGTCCATCACAACATTAATCATTTAAGAGTAGTTTTTATTCTGTGAATCGAAATCGCTGTACTGAATGTTTTACTTCGTCGTTAARATACTTTGTGCTCTATCTATCTTGCGGTATGCGAAATGYTTATATAATTGGTTAGATCCAGACACCACAAACCACGATTGACACTTTAGAGCGGAATTCCACATCTTGCAGGACTCTTGCAGACAGAACTTATGAAAATCTGTAAAATGTTTTGCAGAACTAGATCATGCACTAAAATGTTCTTCAGATTAACGTTTGCCAGTGTTGTTGCTTTAATTTACATCCAGATTCAGMTGCTACCAGCTTCAAAACGTAACGATCTYGTCCGAACTTTAGGTTTGACCCATGAGAAAATTCCACCTGAGAACGTTGCATGGAACAAGCTTTGTAAAGCTGATAATTCTAACTGGAAGAAAGACGATTTTCCATCTGAAAACTCGACAAAAAGCCTGAATACTTTCAAATGGAATGACGTCAAAGGCTACTCAATTGAATCACTCGTGAGACAGCCTTGGTTTCCATGTCAACCTTCTGAGATGAGCTTCGCCTCGATGGCTCAGATACAGCAGGATTCACCTGACTACGGTCAATGGGTTGTGGGTTATATACACGCTGACCTTACCGGCGAGTATTTATTTGCGTTGTCCTCGGATGATTTTTCGGARTTTTGGATCAGTACGGATGAGAACCCTGCCAATTCCAAACGTGTTTCTATGGTTACGGGGTGGACCAGACTTGGTCAGCACACCAAGTATTTCGATCAGATTTCAGACCCAATTCAACTAAAAAAATGCAACAAGTATTTTATTGAGATTCTTCACAAACAGTCACATGGCCAAGGTTTTGTGATGTTATCATGGAAGCGGCCTGGCTATGAAAAGTTTTTCCTGGTTACCAGTGCCTACCTGTCACCTTTGATGGCCAGGCTACCAACAATCGCCAAGCCACATAAAATCACGTTACACAAAGAGAATCACAAGTTAGAGATGGCTTTACAAAAGCAAAGGGAAAATAAACTTAGTCACGATATTTCAGATAAATATTTGAGTTCTCGAGTGAAGCGCTTTGTTAAAAACAACACAATTTCTCTGATATCTTGCCACAATGGGCTATACAAATACAATGCGAAAAGGCAWGGAAGCAGTTTCACGGCAATTTATCCTTTACCTTCGACTGAAAAAAGCAATAAAAGAAKAAACGAAGAAAAAGAAAACAGTCAGAATTTACTGGAGAAAGATGCCAAAAAAATAATTGCCAAGTTTCTGGAGCTTTTGGATGATTTTCATCCAGGGTGAGTCATGCATTTAGCGTCTTGCGCCGGTGCTTGGTTAGATAAAAGCATAGAAGAGAATTTGAAATTATGCATCAAAGTTTTCATTTCCTAAAAACATATATGTATAAGAATATTACAGCTAGTGTTATTGCAGTGACACGAATGGTTTTGCCGGCTGAAAACAATGGAAATTTGGACTGAATCTTCTCTCTCTTACCTGAGTACATCACACAGTTGCAAACTACTCAGATTTGTTTGATAGCATCTCTCCCCTCCCAGTTCTTTCTTGTTTTGCATTTATTCATGTCCCATGCGTCGCTCGAAATTATGACAAAATAAGGCGCTAATAAAAGCATCTTCCCCGATGTGATACACGGTCTTACGTACATKCCACTTCTCGCATTCCAGAGAGTACTCGCTTGGGAAAGTAATATCCGTTGAGAGGAAGCAGTTTCCAAATCAGAATGAGCGTTAYTTAGTTGATTTMGTGCTTCGTCGTAAACAAGATGATGTACGAGTCACAGAATACTTGTTTAGGAAATGGACCGATGATTCAATCTGTACCGTAGACGATCTACGTTGGAATTCCACAACATTTATCCATATCATTGTCACCATAAAAAAGGGTGAATCAAATTGGGCCTGGCATTTATTTGATAGTATCGAAGGTAAGCAAAGCATTTGTATTAGCAAATRTGCTAATAATATGCTAATTAGCTAAAACAGATAATTGAAACAATCAGTCTTGAAGCAATTTATATCGACTTGTCGTTTTAGATATTGCTGCTAAAACAGGCGACAAGGAACTCCACTTGACTATCATTGATTACGATCAAGATGACAAACTCGTGAAAGTGCTAAATAACTCCCCACTTTCTGTTAATGTCATCTCTAGAAGTGGGTATGAAAATATTGCTGAAAACATTCTTGATGTTGTAATGATGCAAGCTAGGCAAGATGAAATTGTGATGGTGGTTGATCCTCACCTGAAATTGCCATTGGACATTATGGATCAAGTAAGAAAGGTATGTTGGGGTATAAAGCAAAACAGTGCGCAAAATATTTMTTTAAGCTTTCTAGCGATGGAATTTTGAAGGMATTAGTGCTGGAGCCCCTTTTTGAGGTGTGGTCATGAAGAAGATGTTATAAGAACATTTCAATGCACTAAAATAGAAAACAAAACGCAAAAACGAGATGGCAATCTCGTTTCGAAAGTAAAAAATCCAGTCCACAACCTCATAAAAACGTACGAATCACTTCTATGCTGCATTTAAACTCAAAAACCAAATCCGTAGTATTTCCGCGCGCGCTCATGTGATATCCCCACTGCATTATTGTCACTAATAATGTTACACTTCTCTCTCACTTTCTGGTAGCACTGCGTACAAAGTTACATGGCGTTTAGTCCTCTTGTATTCCACTTAAAAAGAGGATATAGTCCTGCCGAAACTGAAGGATCTTGGGATACTAAAGGGTTTAAGTTAATGGCAATGTTTCAGAATGATTGGCAAAATCACTTGTCCGGCACAAAGCATCATCCTGGAAAAGACCAAGATTTGGAAGATTTGGGAAATACAATCTTCCTGAAGATCGACGTTGTCCGAATTAGGATCGAAAATCTGTTTTATTTTTCATCACCGTGACATAGCATTAAAACTGAGACCTTACTAGTAGCACAATATTTCTGGAAAAGAAGAAAAATAATACTTTTTGAACTGCATCAACCATACGCACAAAGGACTTGTAGTGACTGAGGAATCCAAAAACTGGGATTTTGCGAATTGAACATATCAGTCCGTTTCTTGGCGTCGAAAAGATCTAATCAGGGCATAGGACATTGGACTATATTAATCGACGTTTAGYAACGGAGAAAGCTTTAAAATTATGATCACATGGAATTAGTTCAAAATGCCCAYAGTTTTCATTGCCTTTCAATTTTAAAAACCCTCATCAGAGTGCTGGATCATTCATTGACCACACAGACGTTTAGTAAKTATTTCATAGCGAACAGCTTTTTTTGTGGAAAATACTAAATAATTCTAGCTCTCTATAGAAATGATATTATCGATAATTAAAACGCAAACTTTGCAGTGAACACAAATTCTCGCTGCCTCCATGCTTGCTGCTCACCCTATAATCCTTTATAAAGTAAATAAATGATCTACGTGATCTGCTGTGTGTTTTTATTATCATTGTCTTTAGTTCCTCTTACATTTGCTGACTTTTTGGATTAGCCAACGAGCATGCTTATGACAGCGATGGGCATGTCACACCGTTGATGTCTTCTACTGTGATGTCTGGTGCTTTTGCTAGCAAGAATGTTTTAATCATGCCCACGCTTACGCTAGCTAACTTATACATGCATATGTCCGATACCACTTCGGCGTTAAGCTTAGGAGCTTTCCCTCCTTCACACTTGTCCTGAAGAACTTTGGCTTTTTGATCTGGTGTTAGACCTGCTGGAGAACTACCATCACACACGCCTTGTTGGACTATCTTGCTGTTCATTTTACAATTCTCAGTGTAGAACTCCAGATCTTGAGCCTTACTTCGCTCTTCTAAGGCTTTCTTAAACATCTGCTTTGTCGTGTAAGGCTCACCTTTGACCCTGCACTTGTCGATCGTATCAATCTCTGAAGTTTGTGCATCGGCGTAAAGCTGATCGAATGTCTTGGCTCCATTTTGACAACCTCTTCTGATCTAGCATTGCAAAGAAAATWTGCATATTTGTGAAAAATGTATAAACAGCAAGCAAAACCCAGAAATAGAGAGTACGTGAAAGAGAGATAAGAAAAGAAAAAATGCTGGGTACAACCTATGTGCATTCACGACTTTCCATACTCAGGTTTAATGACTACGAACAAAGCATTGAACCGAGGTGTCAAGGTACAGTGAGCATACAAAAGAAGATCTGTGCTCAGTGTTCCTTGACGCCTCTCTTCAATGCTTTGTTCGTAGTCMCTGATCCTGGGTATGGAAATTCGTGAATAAAGAATAGGAATTCAAGAGAAAATTACATTTGTAAGGATAAAGCTCTATAAAAGATTGTACGCGAAAATAAATTAACAAAACTCTATTTGCGCTTTCCAGCGATATCCTGAAAGATAACCCGGCAGCCTTTGCTTCACGCGATAGAGCGTGCGGTGAAAACGATCTGTAAATAATTACCCTATTTGAAAAAAGTGAAGGTTTATAAAATTTTTKATATATAACGCGCACTCTGTCTTCTGTTTTTTTTTCATACTGTTTCTCTGTAGGCTTTGATATAAAGTCTCGGTAACKTTTCTGCTTGTTGTGCAACAGAGTATGATAACTACCATCATGCTTTGCTGCACAAAATGTCGTCATGATTGCCTATTGGAGTATTTGATGTTTTAACAATAAACGGTTTATTCGTTTAAAACTTACTCTCTCGTTCATCTTGTTTCTTGCTATTAAGCATTCATAAACATATTCCTGTTTTGAAAGACAATCATCAGTAAGCTCCTGCATTTTGGTCCCCAGGTCCTTCCAATCTTTGCTAGTTTTGAACAAGTTGATGTATTCTGGAATTTTTTGGATGCATTTTGCTGTCCAGGTTCTCGCCGGCTGCCCATTATTCGGAGGAGGATTACATTGGATTGTTTCTTTAATATGTCCCAAGGAGTTTAACATCCCCTCATCTCTGATCTCTTTTTGTATGTTAGCTTCTAACTAAAAATAGGAGAAATTTTAAAATTATATTCCTATTGTATATAACTGAGGTACAAAATGATTACTGATTTCTTTTAGTGCTATATCTTCATGTTGCCCACTTTGTTATTATTTTTACTTTTTCTAGGTACGTTTTTGTTGGTGGTGCTAATTGCTCTATTGTATGGTTGAAGAAGAGTGAATGAGGAGTTTTGATTGACCTTATATGAAAAAGACCAAATAATCATGAAGTTAACCAGAAAAATGTCTGTAAACGTAAATGTTGCTGTAAATGTAAATGKTGCTGTAAATGGTGTTTAATGAAGGTRCAAGTATGGGATCGTCTGAAATATAATAAAATGCCCCCACCACTCCATACATGGGAGTTCCCCCCGAGAGTTTAAGAAGCTACAGGTATTTGTTTAGTACAAAAAATGGCGATTGCCTACCTGGGTTTTCAGTGTGTTCTCAAAACGTACCACACTCTGTTCCATCTTTTCAACTTCGTCTTCAGCTTCTTTAAGTTTAGCGTTAGATTCCTTTGCTTTTTTTACTTTTTGTGCGCATTGGACAAATGTGTTGACGATGGAGTAAATGTCGAAAGCTAGTGTTAGAATCAAAACATYAGTGTTAATCGAAATGTTCATTAGTTTATCAGGGGCGACGGAGCCAAAATTGACTTGGGGGTCACAATCATAGACTTATAATGATGACGTCACACGAATTTTTGCAAATGCATTTTACGATGAATTATTGAATATTTCGGGCCTATTTATGTAGTTGAAATTTCTCATACGCTTGAATTTGTCCAGACGTTTCACGATCTATGGTATCTCCTGTCATATCAATACATTCTTTGAGAATTTTGAATTCAATCGGTGAAATCCCCTACCTATAGTTATTTGCCAGTGTACTCCTCTCTCCTCTTTTATTTTGAATGGTTGCTTAATTCATTAATTGAACACTCAATCTAAACTTACCAATGCCTACTAATGACAGGACTGTTCCTGCAACCTTGAAAACTTTCAATGCTTTCATTGCCGTTTTAGCTTTACCAGCGAACTTTGCGATGGCCGTGCTTTTGAGAAATAGTTTTGCTCCATCGTCTGTGTACCCGAGAAGCTTTTGAGCTTTTGGTGAAGCTTTGAGAAGTTTTTCTAATTGAGTTGACTTCATGGCCTTGTATATCTGAAGAAAATTTAAAGAATATAGTWCAGTCTGGACAATATGTACTAATCTTGTCAATTTTGTACTTTGTGCATTCGTATATAGTTCAGTGATTTCATATTCCTTGTAGAATATATCCCAACTTTTAACCTTACTGTGCAGCCATTGTTAGGAATAGGGCGTAGCCGAGTTATTACCAATTCTTATGCTGTCCGATCTCATTTTGGAACAGCACTTCAACCTGATTGCTCAAAGCACCCTCCTCCTCACCTTGCCTGTCCTCTCTAATTGATACCCTTTTTGTGCCCGCACCTTTACTGATCGGATATCATTTTAGCTGTTGCAATTATCCTATCTGAGTACATATTAAATGAGTTTTATTAATTATTAAGCATGGCTTTGACTGTTATTCCCTCATAGCCATTAACTCCGGACATACTGTCTCATTGTTTTTGGTTAAGACCAAGAAACGAGATCGGGAAGTGCAGTAACAAATGAGAAATATATTATGGTGAGGCATTGAAAATATAAAATCGCTTATTATATAAGTTTTAAGAAAATATCAATTCTTGTCTCCAGTCATGCACAATATTGCTTCATCACATCCGAATATTACTTAAGCAATGAGTTAGGATTTTTGTTACATTTACAAGAAAAAAACCATTGCAGCTGTCATGCATTTCGAGCATGCATGAAGTAGATAAATGTAAGATTAACTATTTTGTTCATAGCATAGAAATCTTTCAAAAAGATTCCATGCCAGTTATAGTGTAGTGGGATACCTTTGTGGCCAGGGTACTCAGAGATGTGTGACTTTGCTTGAAGAACACATTGTAATATTCCTAATATCATATTCACTTACTATATTTTGTATAAACTTATTTCGTACTCTATTACAACAACGCTATGAAATTTGGCTTAAACGTACCACCCTGTAAATTTCGGTTACGCTTGTTTACCGCACTTTGTACGCCTGGCGTCCCTAGCTATTTCCTGGCAGAAGATTTGGATTAAAGTGCACATGACACCTTTTAGAAAAACACTTTTATCCGAAAGTTTACACGCTGCCAACTACTTCTGCGAAAAADKAAAWRGATKTTGAATTGTATTTTCTGAGTTATAGACATTTGAAAATTGAAAATGCAAATGAAGTGACGTCAACTAAGGAATTGATCCAGTCTTTTTACATTGTTTGCGCTATGCTGTTCTTGGTTGAAGAGCACAAATCATCAATCATAGTAATAATTGAGAGCTGAAAATGCTTTTTCCAATGTAACAAAAAGAATAACGTTCTCTTTCATGATTTTGTATATTAAATCATTCCTTAGCAGACGTCACTTCATTTGCATTTTCTAAGTTTTAATCGCCCATAACTTACAAAATACAATTTGAAATCAATTTCTTTCTTCACAGATGAACTTAACAGTATTTTCTCTTTTGGATGAGAGTGAATTTCTAATGGTGTCATGTGCACTTTAACGTCGTATTATTATTGAGTAAACATCATGTTCGTAGTTTTATTAAAGTGCAAGTTTTATAGAGGAAACATCTTGAAAGTTTTATATCTCACGAATACTCCTCTTTTATATTAGTAAAATAATACAAATATTTGGAAGTTCTTAGCTTTGCAATAATTCTCTTTATTTAAATGCAATATATTCTGACGCAAGAAACAGTAATAAATAAAAAAAGAGTCGACTGCCTGACGTTTAGAGTTCTGGGACTAAAAGTCAGGCAGTGGAAAAATCTCAAAGTGCCGTGCTTGTGTATACAAACTTGTCAAACAGTATCATTTCGGTCWTTA